TTAATTTTATATGCACTTTATCGAAATCATTTATAATTCATTGAAAAATGTATTTAAATACAGGCCATCAAAGTATTCTAAACAATTTTCTCAGAATTAAAATGATTTCAATTTCATTACCGGTGCTTAAATGCTTTTGTAATCATTCTATTAAATCCCGTTTTCTTTCCACCTTCACTCATTTCCTAATCGAACTAATTTTAATAACTTCAGTGTCGATTTTGTTAGCTTATCTAACGCAACAGTTGAGAACTTAATTGCTTTCCATTAAGTGATAACTCATAAGTGACAATATAATTGCCTCATATCAACGTTAAATGAAGTAAAAAGATCCTATCAATGAATGAAATAAAATAATTACATTTAGGTCACGAAAGTGTTTCGACACGTGCCAAGTTCAAAATTCCGCTCCCGAGATTAGATTAGTGGGCATCTTGCAAGTGACGTTCAGCGAGTGATCAACGAATAAACCCCCCTATAAATCTCATCTAACCCTGTAATAATTTTGCCTTTCTAGGAAACACAGATGGGGCCGCGTCTCTTTGACATTGCCATACTGACACTTAATATAAAACATTTCAAGTTATCCTAATATCTAAACAAGAAACGAAGAATCCCAGAATCCCAGTTAACAAAAGATTGAGACCGAATAAACTGAAAGTGATATTTTACTTGGACGTTGAGTAAAGTTTGCAGAAATAGTTCAAAATGGAGTTTCTAATGAAAACATCGCGTTTGATCGTCACATCGAAGACGTTCGCGAGACGTGTGGCCGTTCCGATTCCCAGGTAACGAAAATGAAATCGAAATCCCCTACCCCCAGGCAAAATCGGATATACATGGTATACATATATGTCTTCAGGCGGACAGCTCATTACGCATGTAACTGCGTTGCTGTATAAATTGTGCAGATACAATTGTATCTCCTTTGTCTGAGCAATTAGCATTTGAGAACATTTGGGCTTCTGCTTAGGAATACAACACCGCCAGGCATTAGCTAAGGATGCTGGATTTTGCATACCTATACCCAGTACATACCCATACCTACATACATATAACGCAAAGAGCACTTTTGTTTTCATTAACTGATAGCCATACCCCGCCGCCTTGGCCGCATAAATATTTAACGAGTCATATAGAATCGTTCTTTTGTTTAGCATTTTGGCGGGGCGCTCTCACACGTGAGCCGAACGTATTGATCTCGTTCTGGGTGCGCGGGGGTATCTGTATCTTGCAGATACATCTCGTATGCGAAATACCCGTTTGTGCGTGCTCTCCTCGCGATCTTTTCGCTGCCTCGAGCGCGAATGATCTCTCTAATAAAACCCCGCACTTCAGTTGGCATTCAGTTTCGCCAAAGTCGCTTGCAAGCGCACCTCGTTCCGGCGCCCCCAGATCACAGATCTAAATCCCCCAAAAAAAAATCCGAAAAACAACCAAAAAACCCTACCGAAAAATCCCAATCCAACTCCTTTGATCCTGCCGCCGACATGGAGCCAGCACTGCCAATAAAGCGAGCCAACAAGGCGCCCTGCAAAAACGATCGAAAGCCTATCTGCAAAAAGTGATGCTGACCAGGTGAGAGGCATCTTCTTCTCGGTGGGGCCATCTGATCCACCGGCGGGCGATCGTGATTGATTGCGGTGACAGGCCGAAACCCGTAAGCCCCAAATCCAGTCGCCATTCGCCATCCAATCCCCGGCGGGAACTGGTTTCGATTCTCTCGCGAAGCGTACCAAACCAGCCGCACAGCTGCGAAGCTATTGACCGAGCGACATTTTTCGCCTTTGTTTTTGTTTTGCGGGATTATCGTTGCGTGGGCGACTTAGCATCTCTCCCCTCAAGTCCCTCAAATCCCACTTCAATCCCCCATCCCCTAATTCCCGGTAATCTCCTTAGAATCAGAGCATATGTGCTAAGTGGAAGTTCGATGTTCGAAAACCAGAAACGTTCTTTCTATCAAGAAATAGACTTTAGCTCAGTTTCAACTTTGTGCTACCCATTATAATGTAACCGATTCCATTATCAGGAAATACCGGAGATCATAAAGTAATCAAATCTTTTTTTTCTTGTTCCTTTTAATGGTGTTCATATCATCAGAGACGGAAGATAGTTTAGCTATCACAATATAAATTCAATATACCAAAGGTAAAAGGAGAATCAAGATTCAGATCATTGGAGATCCCAAAAATAACATATTTAAAAAATGTTTATAATTATAAAATCCGAATTTATATCAAGATGTGTTCCTTATTAGCTAACCAATCACCGACTGTTACTTACTTTCATTTTTAATTCTGCTTATACATCTCGATGTTTCTGTGTATTTGTGTAACTTAAAAAGTGATTAGAAATATCCTAACAGTTTCAAATATTTTTCTCCCCCCAACACAAACATTTAACACGACCAAAAAACTAATTTCAGCAAAGGGAAAATGGAAAAGTTTTATATGACTCAGCGTCATAGTCATAGCCTTTTCATTTTCAGCATAATACTGAGAAAAATTCTGTATAGAAAACCAGATGCTTTGTGAGTACCAGAAAATGTTGACATTATACTTACTTTATCGATGTTGTTTATTTGGTGTTGTTCGCTGAAAGTTGTTTGTTGTTGCGAGAAGCTTTTATACGTTTTTTTCGATTGAAATGCTTAAAAGAAAACATAATTAAAGAGTTCCCAACAAAGACTAATACAATTTTTTGTTTTGCAAGCAATATAACGAATAGTGAGCGTTATAAACACGTTTGCTAAGCCAAATAGAACACTTCGGTTCTAATAGATTGCTAATTTTCAATGATTTATCGTTTTCCAGAATGGGCTCATTTAACACGGCTCCAAAGATCAACAACGTGGATTCCCAGGATGATGGCCTGGAATTGCCCGCGGGTCTGGACACTCGGCTCTTCTTCAGCACGTCCAGCAATTGAGGGGCGGTGGAATCGAGCAGCCTTCGCTGCTCACCCGCGGCTTCCTGAAACCACTTCCGGTGGACGAGGACTTCGCCGACGGACTGCGATGCCTCCAGCTGAACTCCGTATCGAGGGGTAGGATTGCATCCTTGTCTTGTCCGCGGGATATATATTCTAATGTCTTTATGCAGTTTGCAGTGCGCCAGTTGAGGGTGACGCCTCGCACAACATTCGATTGCTGCAATGGAACATTCTATCGCAAAGTAAGTATTGACATTTCAATACAAAAAATGATACAATTTCCAACCAATTGAATAGTTTTATAATTTTTAAAATTAAAATAATTTTCTAAAACTAACAACAATTCTAAAATATAAAAGTTCTATAAATCTAACTCTATTTCTTTCCTAAAATGTAGCTCTGGCCAACACAACGATGGATTTGTGCGCTGTCCCGAGGAGGCACTCACCTGGGAGCACCGCAAGTACCTGATTGTCCAGGAAATCCTGCAGAACCAGCCCGACGTGATTTGTCTGCAGGTAAATTCACACCATTTCCGATCGTCAAGCGGTATCGCTTTAACGTGTACTTTATATATCAAACCAGGAAGTAGACCATTTCAAGTTCCTGCAGACGGTGTTGGGAAGCCAGAATTACGAGGGCATCTTCTTCCCAAAGCCGGACTCCCTTGTCTGTATATCGAGCAGAACAATGGACCCGATGGATGTGCCATTTTCTATAAGCGGGATAAACTACAGCTCCAGGGATACGATACCAGGATCCTGGAAGTGTGGCGAGTGCAGAGCAACCAGGTGGCCATCGCGCCCGGTTGCGAATGCGATCCAGTGGTCGAGAGTTCTGCGTGGCCACCACCCACTTGAAGGCCCGCCACGGCGCCCTTTTGGCCAAGTTGCGTAACGAACAGGGCCGGGATCTCATCCGGTTTGTGAAGCAATTCGCCGGTGAGACGCCCTGCTGCTGTGCGGCGATTTTAACGCCGAGCCGGTGGAGCCCATCTACGCCACGATTCTGGGCTGTGATCTTCTCCGCTTGGGCAGTGCCTATGCCGATGTGAAGCTAGACCGTGAGGAGATCCTGCAGCCCAGCGAGGATGTGGGCGAGTTCGTGTCGGAATCGATGAAACGAGAGCCACCCTACACCACCTGGAAGATTCGTGAGGAGGGCGAGGAGTGCCACACCATCGACTACGTTTTCTACACACCCGATCGCCTCAAGGTAGGTTATCTTCGAGTATATATGTATATACCTTTAAATCTGAAAGCGAAAATTAACTTCCAAACCTCTCTATACTTTCAGATCAAAAATTGCCTAAACTTTCCAGAGGGGAACAAATCGGCAAGAACCGCACACCCAGCTACCAATATCCATCGGATCACTTTTCCCTCGTGTGCGATTTCGAGCTGCTACCTTCCGCGGAAAACGGAAAGGAAAGCGCCAGCGATGGGAAAAATGAAACGGAAGTGGAGGGCAGCAAACACGGATCCATTCAGTAGAAGATTCCAGTTTCAGAATTCACCACAGAAGAAGTTTCAATTACATTACATCGATTGTGATATTAGTTGTTAGATACATATTAGCCTCATACACAACCGTTGCACTACAGCTTGCAGCTTTTACAAATGATAATCCAAAATCACAATAAATAAATGACATAATATGGAAGAAAGTTAACTAAAATAATAGTTTTTAATTTTAGATGAACATATAAAATAAATAAAAAAATTTCAGCAACCCACAAGTTGTACTCCAGCGGTCTTTTTAGAAACCCAGTTAACTAGAGCGGAAGTACTTTATCAGTACTATTTTTTTAACATTGGTAATAATGTTGCCGACTTTCCGGCGCATATGTCAAACATTCTGTTAACGAGAGTCGGGGGCTCGGGGCGTATGCTTGATTCCCCTGCCGTCAATGGTCCGCAAATTGGCTCCCAAATGGCCTAAAAATTAAGATCTCCATATAAACTAACAAGAATGATTAGAAAACACGCAGGTCCGAAAATGCAGTGAAAAACAATCGAATGCAGCGCATTCAAAGCCATCAAATGGGTTGCGTAACTCAACAAACAGCATTATAAATATACACACTACATGTATTTAGTATATAACAATTTTCACATACTGCTCGCACTAGAATTTAATAGGTATAGCCAATAACTGGGACTTAAAGCAGGGCCAAGATAGCTGTCAGCACGAAAGAGGTGGCGACCATTGCGTAACCGGTCGAGTAGACCTCCTTGATCTTAGGAATCGCCCGGTGTCCCAGAAGAGGTGACGGATTCCATTGGCGGTGTGATAACCAGCCGGATAGGCGATGATGAACTTGAGGGCGGTCAGAGTGGCGCCGCTCAGCTGGAGGCCCTCCACCATGGTCACATAGTGGCTGATGTCGTGCGACGAGATCAGAGCGCCCAGTCCCAGGCCCCAAACGCCCACTCCCAGGGCCAACCGGTGCCGCGATGACAGATCGACAGCATGGAGGTCAGCTGCGGCTGGTAGATGGTCAGGTGGGGCGACAGCTTCCTGCCCAGCCGCTCGTTCTTCTCGAAGAACGACTCGTCCTTCTGGGTTTCGGCCACGGATACCACCTTCAGCGATACCTGGCGGCTGGCAGCGGCCATCTGGAGGCCCTGGCGCAGCGCCGGCGAGCGAATTACGAGCGGAGAGTGCATACCTGCAAAGAGCAGTCTTAGATCAGGGTTTTCGCAGCCCATTTCGCAGAAATTACGTACATTTCCCTGTTTTTCACTCAAACTTGTATTGATAGGACCGTGCACTGCCTGCGCGTATTGCCGCAGCCGGTGCTGCCACCAAGTTTTACGAAGTCGACTCGATAGTATCGATAACAAAACACATTTATTTTTTAAAGAGTTTTATACGATGCTTAGCTTAAAATAACCCACAACCCTTAAATAGGATTTAAAATTATTTTACTAAAATAAATATGTGTCATTTTTAGAGCTGCTTTTCATGAAGTTGAAATGCTTATGCTTAAGGTCTTTTGGTGGGTAGATACATTTTTATTACTATAAATTAAAAAGGCAATTCAAATCGCAGCATCAAAACATTTTTATTTTTAATTGTTTATAATGCAACAACAAATTACAACAATAGAGGGAATAAACATGCTGTAATTAGTTGTACAAATCTTCACAGCTTAGAGCGCGTATTATTTTAGTTTTCATTGTTAGTGCTTAAATTTTTAAATGCGAAATATAATAGGTAAAATTTCTATGTATTTGTATAACTAGCCAATCAGCAGGAGTACCCTTTTAACAGTACTATCGATATCTAGTAGGCGCTGCCCCACCGGCGTCTGGCGCTGCCAGACCGTCGGACTTCAAGCGAGTTGGCAGTTCGTTCGCCATTTTTTCTTGCTCATTCTTTTTACCGTTCAAAGTAGCGCGTGGCAGGTCGTTCCGCAGTGTTCCCGGTCCGGTGCAGTTGTAGTTGCATATTCGCCAGCGATTCAGACGCCATCTTCCGACCCCCAAAACCCAATCACCATGAAGATCTACAAGGATATCATCACCGGCGACGAGATGTTCGCCGATACCTACAAATGAAGCTGGTGGACGACGTGATCTACGAGGTCTACGGCAAGCTCATCACCCGCCAGGGCGATGATATCGTATTGGCCGGGGCCAACGCATCCGCCGAGGAAGCTGACGAGGGCACCGAAATCAACTCGGAGTCGGGCGTCGATGTGGTGTTGAACCATCGTCTGGTGGAGTGCTTTGCCTTCGGCGACAAGAAGTCCTACACCCTCTACCTGAAGGACTACATGAAGAAGGTGCTGGCCAAGCTGGAGGAGAAGTCCCCCGACCAGGTCGATGTCTTCAAGACCAACATGAACAAGGCCATGAAGGACATCCTCGGCCGCTTCAAGGAGCTCCAGTTCTTCACCGGCGAGTCGATGGACTGCGACGGCATGGTGGCCCTGGTGGAATACCGCGAGATCGGTACCGAGAGCGTTCCAGTGCTCATGTTCTTCAAGCACGGTCTCGAGGAGGAGAAGTGCTAGATGATCCGCCACCTTCCCCACGGAACTATACTCATGCATACCTTCTACACATATTTATCAGATGCTTAGTTACAATTTTGAAAGTCTTAAATTTATGTTAAACGCTGACAAAATGCCTGTCCTCGATCTGTGCGATTTTATTTTTGATTTCTTTCGGCCGGAGCACTCATAAATTCGACTCAATGTATGTTTATTGTTTAAAATCACACCGAGCTAAACAATTGAATTGCGCCAACTATTGTAATTAAAATAATATTTTGATAGAACAACACCTTAAAAAGTTTGTATGCATTTTCGCCAACATCCATTGCAGAAAAAAACAAATAATCGAAAATGGGAACACCAGTACTGAAATTAAACGGAAACAATATACAACTGTAAATCCGATTGCCTGTACTTCTTTGCATTTAACAGTTATTCGTAGGTAGACGCCGCCATATGGTGGCGCGAGTGCGAGCGAGAGGGCCTACCCGCCGTCTGAGTCACACAGCTTGGGCCACTTTTTTGTTGTTTTTTGGGCAATCGCGAAGTTATTGACCTTTGACAGTGATGTACACGTGCCCCCCACACACAAGTACATATATGTGCGTAAGTATTTGGAGGTCATGCGCACTGGTTTACTATTTTCTGCACGCTGCAGTTCCACATGCCCCAGTTTCTCACGTTGGACTCGCCCTAACCTCAACAAGTTGGCAAAATGCGCCACTCTCGCCAGAAATTGGAATTCTATAATCTAATTCTAGGGCGAGGAATACGTTCGTCTTTATCTGCTGGCGGGGCGGGGCTCACCAGCACAGGTGCTATTTCCATTTCAGCGAAACGTGTCGACCTGTTGCCGTCGTCGCGTGAGAGATGCCCACAGTGGCCTCTCGCTTGGACCACTGTGCAGAAATTCGCATCTGTTGATACTAACATTCCGTGAATTTTTTAAATAGTTAAAATTCTTTAAAAAATTTTAATAATTGTAAAGCATGAAATTAAATATTTTATAAATCTATAACTTATAACTAAAGAAATTAAAAAAAAAATATTGGATTATCCACTTTTAAAAGTCTTATAAGTGCTTTGAAAAACACAGTCATGACATTATAAGGCATTTTTCATAGATCCTGTGAAAGGTCCATTTGTAAAGGAAAATGTTTAGGAAAGGTGAAATTTCATTAAGACAATCATTTAATTAGTATTCTGACATTTCGATTTTCAAGTAAACAAAGCCGAGTTAAACTTTTCCAAATTCTCTTTAAAATTTTGTAAAAGTCGGAATACCTTCCTGAAAACAGGACAGCCCACTAAAAATGATATATTCTGTTAGTTAAACTTTATACCAGACTCATTGTGGTAAACATAACCCAATAAAAGGCACCTTTGTAAACAATATTATCAGTTGAGCTACTAAGTTAATAGAGCAGAAGTTGGTTTTCCGTAGACCCCATGAAAACCAACTGAAATTTCTGGCAAAAACCCACCCAACCGGAATTAAAAAACCTTTCATTTCGGTTTACGTATAAAAATGCTAATAACAAATTAAATTTTATTTCGTTCATAATTTTGATGCTTCAACTGTGGCAAAAACGGTTCACTTAATGCACTTCCACCGCACAGCGGAATGTCCGTGGAAATGTCAGTCAGATTAGATGCTATTTGTAGGTATGCACGATTCTGGTTTTGTTCATTCTGAATTTAAAAAAGACTTTAAAAGTATATATTTACTTATGCACAAATTCTTTCGCTTAGCTTACAATTACACTAATGCTTCTCGGTCTCGACTATCGCATATGTTATGCGCGTAGTTTGTATAGAATGGAATGAATGCCGAAAGCATTTTAACAAATACAAACGTTAATAAGTTAACAAAATTCGGAAAATTACTAGTACAACTGAAGATTGAACATTTTGTTTTACTTAGCTCTTGGAGGGGACTTTTGGAAGTGATGGGGCTTTGTGTGGCCGCAATGAACTAAAATTTCAAAATAATATTTGATAACATCGACGCCCGTTCGCACTGCACACACAGGCATCACGCGTTGTTAAATATACACATCATTGTACAAGGACACCGGTGGGTAGATCCCATCTTGATCAAACGTAATCCAGCTGTATGTAGATCTGCTTCACGCCCACCGCCTCGAATATCATCCGCGTGTGCGTGACCACGTACTTGGGATCGACGTTCTTGGACACCTCCAGCTTGAGGGCTCCCACGTAGACATCAGAGCAGAGGGTCCAGAAGTGCGGCTCCTGCACCGCATAGACGCCGGCCAGTCCGGTGACTTTCTGGTAGCACTGCGGCAGGGATCGGTCCAGGTCTGACGGCTGACGCTGCATTAGGATCATTATCGACTCCTTGATCAGACTTAGAACACTGAGCGCTATCAGCAGGGCGATGAAGATGGAACAGATGGGGTCCGCAATCATCCAGCCGAACATGTGCATCAGCACAGCCGAGATTATCACGCCCACCGAACCAGGGTGTCGGCCAGGATGTGCAGGAAAACGCCGCGCATGATCTGCGAGTTGCTGCCCGACATATCGCCATGCGAGTGGCCATGACTGTCGTGGTCATGAGAGTGTCCATGGCCTAGAATTAAAGTTGAAATTAGTAAAATATTATCAGAAACTACATTATCTCGCAAGTCCTAATCATTGATCAACTAAATCAACTATACGACAGAAATAAAGATAACTAACTAACTTATTAACTTAGTTCAAGATCCACAAAAAATACATTTATAACCGAAACATTTTAACAATGTATAGTAACCGGCGCCTAATAATCAGCAATAACTCATCCTTCATTAACGCTTACAGGTAAATATATCATCTAAACGTTACCATTGTCCAATGTGATGGCCTGGTGATTGTGGTTGCCGGCGTCGTTGTGGCTGTGGGAGTGTCCGTGTCCATGGCCTCCGCCATGGGAGTGCCCGTGTCCACCGCCGCCGTGCGAGTGTCCATGTCCTCCATGATTGAAGGCATAGATGCCCACCAGGTTGACCAGCAGACCCAGGACGGAGACAACGAACAGTCGCTCGTGCTTGACTCCGGCGGCTCAATGAGTCGCTCCACGCCCTCCGACAGGATGAAGAAGGCTATGAACAACAGGAAAAGGCTGTTGACAAAGCCGGCCAACACCTCGGCTCGCACATAGCCGTAGGAGAACTTGTCGTTGGCCTTCCACTTGGTGATAACCGAGGCGGCCAATCCCGCCAAGAGGCCCGTGCAGTCGAAGAACATGTGGAACGAGTCGGAGATCAGGCCTACGGAATAACCATTAAGAGAGGGTCATAAACTATGGATAAGATAAAAAGCAATCAGTGGCTAGGCACCCACCCAAACTATTCGTCGCGATGCCGTAGAAGAGCTCCACGAAGGCGAAGCTCAGGTTGAGCAGCAGGAAGAGGAACAGATTGCGGGAGTTGCGGTCGGAGAAGATGAGTCGCTTCCAGCTGTTAAGCTTCTCCCGCACCCGGTAGCCGAAGCTGCTCCATCCTTGTGCGACAGCGGTATCATCTTGCCGGATATGGATCTGCAAAGTAACCCGACAAGAAAATGAGAGTGGAGGGCCTCCAGATAACGAATTTGTTTGCATACGTGGTATTATCGGGGGGCTATGGCCGCGCGATCCAGCTGATTCTGTGATTCCCACTCAGATTCTGGCCGGGTCCGCGAGAATCTTTATCGGCGTGTGGCGGCGGCAGGTCTTTTTTTTTGACTCGGGAATTACCTCACAACCCAAATCGCTTCCTGCTCGACGTCGTCTTGTGTGCACAGTTGTGCGGGCGGGGTGGTCGATCTGCGAGTTTACTACAGCTTAATTCATTTTTACTGGTGCCAGATACCAGAACCGAACCCGTCTTTGCCAGCTCCAAACCAATCTGCCGTGTTGTCATCAAAATAAAGGTAACCACGTAAACATTTCGCTCGAGCGCTGGCGACGCTTCGCTGTGAATGGCAACCGGGCACAGTGACTATCAGTCGGGATGTTCGCTGGGTGAAAATTAACTGCTGGTGTGACAACCCTTTTGTATAAGGGTTAAAAAGGTTCATTAAATATTAAAAGTTGACAGATTATCTATTTAACAGAGATTTTTTTATACATCAAGTAGGGAAATAATTCAAATTAAAAATTACACAGTTAATCGTTAGCTGGTATATGAACGGTCGAGCGAAATTTTCATTATTTTTTCCTTCCAAGTAATCCGTATTTATTTTGTCAAAGCTAAGTTCCTTTCTCGCTTTAATTGCATTTAAATAAATTTTTTAAGGCTGTATTTCATTGGCACACATAATAATATTTTAATCTAAAGCCTTAATTGATAAAGGTTTTATCATAGCATTCCTTTGAACATTCAACCTGCTCCTTGTTTGCATACTCTAGTGTTCACTGTCACGTGATAACGTTTAGAGTGAATGTCGATTTAAATTCTTATTGGAAACGGAAAATCAAATATTCTTTCAAAAACAAATATTGATAGATACTAATCTAACTAAAATGAAGGGCTTTAATTATAATAACATATAAATAGGACTCCGTAGAATTAAAGGTGTTAACTCATCTGATTAATCCATTTATATATTTAGTTAATGTGTAAGTACATATTAAGTACTCGAGAAAATATTTTTAGATAGATATATGAATCTTAATGTTCATCAAACTTTTTTAATAGTTTCACAAAGAACGTCGATTGTTAATTTTCCAAAAAGCGCAGGGCTAGAAATTATCTTAGCCTACTAGAAAACCTATGTTAATTGAATTCATTCTATCAGCCATAAAACTTTCAAAAGGTTGAGTTTAGACAACTGAGCTAGTTCGAGATACTAATAATTTTACGGGGAATGCTTGCACGTACCTGGCTCTTGGAATAATAGATATTTTTTCAGCCGGCAAATCATTTGACTTCTGGAAACCACTGATCCATGATAAACCCCTTTGGTGAGGAGATATATCAATAAAACATCACGCAAATGTCCCTTACATCAATAAGAAAGCAAGTTTATTCAACATTTCACACACAGCGGCATCGTAGTGCTCTCGAATACAATCAGAGTCCTTTTGTAAAGCGAATGCAGCCACGGATTTGCGAGATGGGCAAAAGGTAAAACATTTACGCCTCATCACCCTTGGTGGCACGTGTGTAGATGACCTGGGAATGATGCTGCACAACCTGCTTGATCAGACCTGAAATTGGAGAGGTTGTGGGGATTAGTTTTGAACGTAAGGATTCCATTCAGATAAACATACCCTTCTCGCGCAGCTCGATCAGAGCACGCTTGGCCAGGGAGCCGCGGATCTTCAGACGCTCAGAGACCACCGAGGGGGTGATCAGCTTGTAGGCGGGCACTTCCTTGTACAGCTTCTCGTAGGTAGCCTTGTCGAACAGCACCTGGTTGTTCAGCTTGTCCCTGACTTTTCCCTTGGACCACTTCTTCTTCTTGGCCTTGCCGCCGCCGGATCCCTCCTTCTTCTTCTGTGTCTTTTGCGGCTGCTTGGCCGAAGACTTCGCGTCCTTCTTAGGCGGCTAAAAGAGGGGATAAACAAATGGCTGGTGTTAGTTGCCGGCATTCCAAAAATATAAATAGTCTCCCCCATTGACTACCGGACCAGCACCTGGAGGAGCTGGCCGCTTTCGAGGTTAAGGCATGCTTTTGTTTTTCGCCCGGATTTTCACATTTTTCCCCCTCGGTGGGTGGTGTTTTCATGGCCCAGTCTGGGGCAGCACTTCAGACATGTTTTGCCTCCGTTTGCAGGCCACTTTCACAGTAAAAAACTATTATTTTCGCAGAATTCAGTAGCAGCGAACTCACCATCGTGAAAAGTCAATGCAGAAAGATGGAGGGCGGAAACGGCCAGAGTTACCAACCATCGTATAGGGTAGCAGACCTGCCTATCGATAGTTCGAGCGGAGTGGGAAAAATACTAAAAACCTGTTCAGTTATTTTCGTGATCGTTAAACTTTGAGGACTGAAACCAATAACGAATTTAATTCTTGCGCTTAAAATATATTACAAGATAGTAAAAAAATCATAGCTGTGAAAAATGTATGTTTCAACATTTTTTACATATATTTTTAAGCGTTTTGTTTAAATGAATACATTTTTTTATATATATATTTTGTCATTTAATTTTAGTTTCAATATATAACAATAAATTTAAAAAGACAAGTCCATCTCTACATTCAACCAATATTAAAAGAGTGACCAATATAAGTATGGTATTCCGGCAAACGGCCACACCTTTTGTGCATGTCAAACAAATAAATTTAAATAATTGGCAAATCAATTGGACGAAATGAAAGAGTTCTGCCGCACCTGCGGCAAGACCATCGTGGCCGACCAGTGCCTCCAGATCTTCTCGCCGGAGGGTCGGAAGCTGCTGCAGTGCGTCCGCTCCATAACCAACTGCTGGGTGAGCACGAAAGCCAAATTCCTGTGGGTTTCCGTTTCCACTAAAGATTGTTTACCATCTTGCAGCTGCGGGATGTCCAGGATTTGCCCAACCACATGTGCCCGGATTGCCAGGTGCTGCTAAACAGGTCCAGAAATTCCGCCGGCGATGTGCCAAAATCGAGAAATACTTCGCCAGGCGACGGAGCAGGATGAATCTCGGCGAAGCCCCTGCGGCCGTGCCTCTGCAGCTTCCCGTCCAGCAAACAGCTGCTCCGGATCCGCTGGGCATCGACGAGTTGATGGCGGCCAGTGAAATCAAGGTGGAGCCCAGCCAGATCCAAGTGGAGCAGGGAGCGGAATCGTCGTATCTAGAAAATCAGTTGGCGAGGGAATCAGCTATGAGGATGCTCCGGCAGAGGACTTCATGCCCCTGCCAGAGGACTATGGAGAAGAACAGACTGAAATGGTGGCCACCACCACCAGCAAGGCGGAACAGAGAAGAATCAAGAACAAAATCAAGTCCAGCAAGCACACAATGCGCATGGGCAGGAAGCTAATCCACGTGAAGGTCATCAACGACAAGCAACCCAAGCGCATTGTTGACCGAAACGGACCGAACGCCAAGCCCTGCATCTGCGAGCACTGCGGCCGGCAATTCAAAGACACCAGCAATCTCAATGTCCACCTCCTGCGGCACACAGGCACCAAACCCTTTGAGTGCGAGCAATGCCACCAAAAATGCTATACGCTCCATCTGCTGAGGCGCCACCAGCTGAAACATACGGAGGGTCCCTACGCCTGCACTTTCTGCGGTCTGGAGTACAGCACAAATAGCTCTCGAGTGAGGCATGAAAGGTGAGCTGTTTTAGTTTTCAATTGCTCCATTTACATGTCTTCATTTTACAGGGAGGCGTGCAAAAAAGGACGAGCACCGCAGTCCAAGTGGGAGATCATCAAAAAGGGCGAACGCACATTCCAGTAAGTTTTTACACACATTTACCCATTGTGTTGACTAATTTCTGATCTCCTTCAGCTGTGAAGTGTGCGATCTCTGGTTCCTGCGCGCTGGAAACTTCACACAGCACATCAACTCCTCCAGTCACATTGAAAACGAACGCAGAAAAATACGCAAATCGAAATCAGTGCAACCTACCGCCATAAATACATGAAACAACTGCGGTTAAAAAAACAAACTTTCGATTCATTCGTCTTCAAAAATTGGTTCTTGACCCGTTTTGCGAATATTTTCCTGATGCGTTTTGCTATTTGCATGAGTCTTCATGTTGTACTTGTAGCGGAAATGGACATTGCAGACCTCGCACCTGTAAAGATCAATAGTAGATTATATGTATATCATATTCGAACTGATGCAATGGCTAACCCACCAGTAGGGACGTTCTCCGGTATGGATGAGCTCATGCTCCCGCAATCGGGTGCGCTGATAGAATCCTTTTAAGCAGATGTCGCACTGCAGAGGTCGCTTCTCGTGTGTCATCTCGTGACGCTTCAGCTTGTTGGGATCGAGTAGCTCTTGCTGCACTGCTGGCACTTGAAAGCGTTGGCATCGGTGTGTGATTTGATGTGCCAGCCAAGCGCATACTTGGATGCATAGTGTTTGTGGCACAGCTTGCACTGATAGCGCACATCCTCTCGTGGCTTCGGCATGGGCTTGGGGTTGATTCGTTTCACAATCAGACGTGGGGCAGCATTGTGCACTCACTGAAAGAGTGAATAGGAATTCATTAGTAGGGAGATATAAATACTTAATATTTACCTTATTTACCACCAACCTTTCATGCTTTTGACGAGCTCCCGCATAGGCAAACGTTTCGCTGCAGAAGCGGCATGCAAAGGGCGATTCGCCACGGTGACGGATACGGATGTGCATGTTGCGCATGTAGCATCGTAGAAAGTCTTCGGACACTCGCTGCACTGGTATTCTTGATCCGACTGTGCCGGAGCATGTGCATCTGCAGGTTGTGGGACATGCGGAAAGCCTGACCGCACTGGTCGCATACAAAATTCGGCGGTTTAGCCCGCAGCTGGGCACGTCGTATGAGGTTCCTCTCTTCTTTCGTCTTGGGGTTGGCTCTACGCCTTGGTTTTTGTTCACAGACTGCGGTTTTTCTGATCCTGGGTTCTTTGCAATTGGTGCCTCTTTTTTGGGTCTATCGTGACCCGTATATTGGTCTATCAGTTCCTTGAAAATCTTGGCGCCCAGAGCCACACTAAGTGGATCTTGTGCGGCCGGCTCCTGGATTCTGTAGCTGGTTCTTGACTTAATTGGTCATCCGATGGGCTTCATCTTCCGCAGGCTCCTCCTCTGGATCTTCAATCTCTTCTACATTGGTGTACTCTGAATCCGATGCCAAATCGGGCTCTGAAGTAGCTTGCTCTTCATTTAGAGCCTCGATCTCCGTTTTATCTGGTTCCATTTCAGCTAAGGACTTGGCCTGGCTGATCTTGAGCTCCGTGTTGATGCACATCTCCCGAAAATCGATGGCCTGGTCTAGGGCTAATACACAAGCAGAGCACATGAGCTGAGGTTCGTCTGGTTTGGGGCTGATCTGTAGAAGATAAGTAGTAGGATTATATGGGCTTGATTATTAAATGTAATGAAATAATGACCAACCCACACACCGCTGATGACTTCTATGTGGAAGAGCAGGACACTGTTGGCCTGGTCAAAGAGATCCTTGGCACTGGAGTCCAAGGCGAAGTCCTTGTAGCAGATGCGGCACTTCTCCAGCTCATTTTGCTTTTCCTCGCCGATAAGCGGATCAAAATCCATTGCCATAGCCTCTGATAAATCCACTTTATCACTTTGTGGACTAACAAATGTTGGCGCCGCTGAAGCACTTGACTCGGCCTCATCCTCCGCCAGGAGTTGGGCCACTAGTTTCTGGTTCCTGCGCCGCTGCGTCCTCTCCTGACGTGCTCTTTCCAAGGGACTATCTTGGTTTTTGTTTAGGCAGGGAACGGCACCCGGTCGTAGAGTTCGCTTTTTGGCCAGGCCTGTTTAAGGGAGAACAACTTGGTTAATCATTTCCAATAGCTTGCTGTTGGGGCTAACTCACCCATCTCGAACTTAAGGGCTCCCTCGATGTCTTCGTCCTTGAAATGTGCTATACAAATGCACGGATTCTTCAGCTTCATGGAGTCCTCCGTAAACCCACAGAAGGCGAGCCAAAGTTTGAATGTTTCCGGGCATTTGGGAAACCGGAAGAAGCCGACCTGTTGCTGCTGATCCGGATCCCTTTTGGATTTGCTCACAAAGGCATTCCGGCAATTGGGCACGGCACATCTCATAATTTTAGAGGAAATGCGCAATGTTTATAAAAATTGTTATTTATAGCATTGAATTAGTGTGACCATCTGCCGCACGAGCATGTTACCAAGGTCGAGGTGGTTATCATAGTGACGTCACAAGTTAGAGATTATTTAAACATCTTTCATTTCAAACGATACAAAAAATTAAGTATTCCTCTTTGGTTCCGAAAAAAACCCAAAACAAATTAATATTTGAGAATGATTTTGATTTAATTACACATTTCTTCCCGCCATTTCTCCAAAATAATTCCAAAAGTATTCACACATCTGAAACAAATTAGAAAATAATATAATGCGCAGTAATAACATTAGAATCATTTATTTGATTTACATGCGAACCAAAGGACTGTAGACAAAATATTTTCAGTTATTTTCTGAACTTATTGGGCACTTTTTCAAACAAGAAATACACACATCTGTGTCGCTTTGCACCGTTCAAAATGAAATTTTGTAATCCCAATTTAGTATGAATTTTACGAAAGTGTGAAGTATATGTACGTACACGGATAATATGTATGAGTAACTAAGACTAAGCTAGGGCGTAAGATTAGGATATTATAATTAAGAAAGTACGATGAGGGTTAGAAACGGACCCTAGTTCTTGGTCTTCTCCACCCTGCCAGTCTTGACTCCATTCAGCTTCTGTTTGGTTCCTGCTTGGCGGGCTTCTTGGTCTTCTTTTTCTTCTTCTCGAAGGCGCTGAAGTCGACGGTATCGGAGTCGTCCTCGTTGCCGTACTTCTCCATGAGGCGGTCCATCAGGGAACCAAAGTTGGACTCCCGCTGGTTGCGACGCGCCAGGATCATTTGCTGCAAATCGCCGCCGTTGTCGGCCAGATCCTGGTCGTCCTTCTCCTGCTGGCGGCGCTTGAGGCGCTCCTTGATGACCTTGGCCTCCTTGAATTCGCGCGCGTACTTCTGGTGGCGCTTCTTGCGCTTGGCGGCCGGCTCCTCGGTGAAGATCTTAAACTCGGGCACCTCTTCGCTGGCAATCATGTCCTGGACGATCTTTGGATACGCGGCTCGTCCTCCACCTTCATGAAGGGCACATGGTTCATCAGATAGTTAATGCACCCCTTCCGCCCAGATACGCCTTCTTCACGTCCGTACGCTCCAGCTCCGAGTCCACGTACTCCTTCTCATAGTTGTTGATGTCCTCCTCGGAGATGGGCTTGAAGATCTTGCTCCAGAGGTCCAGCCAGGACGACAGCTTGGACTCCGCTCGTCGTCGTCGTCGATCACGCCCTGCTCGTCGTAAAGGGCCCGCTTCTGGGTGTCGGTGAGCACTGGTAGAGCTTTGACAGCACCTTGAACTTCTCCGTAGACTCCGCCTTCTGCTCCTCCGGCACTCGGTCCGGATGGACGAGCAGCGAAAGCTTGTGGTAGGCCTTTTTCACCTCCTTCTCGACGGCGCCCTTGGCCAGACCCATCAGCTGGTACACATCCCGCGTCCCAAAGTACTTTTCGCACAGTTCCAGCGTCGACATTGCGAATTTTATTTTATTTTCCGACACAAACACTACCACAAAATGCGCCAAAACGCCGCGCCAGTGTGTACGCGCGTGGGGTGGTCAAAATTCCTGGCTTGAAATGGTGCGAAACTTGGCTATATATGCTACTTAAGGCCTCTCTACACCTTCTAATTTGCTAAGTTAATTTTTGACGTAAGTAAAAAGTTATATTCTGTGGCACTGATAACAAAGGATATTTAAATAGAAAAATTTTACGTTGTAGCTACTATAGCATAAAAATACGGTCACGGATGCCACAGATATCCTTCAGCGCTAGTCGTGACAATTTATATTGATGCACATGAGGAACTCACGCTTAATGAGCGCTCTGTGGGATAGATAAGGTAAAAAACACAAAATCAATAGTGTAAGAAATACTAGCAATTACAAAAAGGTTTAAATTTACTTTTTAAAAATATCAAGTTTAACGCAGTATACACACAATCCAGTATACACAACCACATTTTTTAATTCATAAGTTTGCACATATTTTTAATTCTAAGGTATCTTAGCGTAAGTAAACTTAAAATGTTTGCTTAAATTTTTGTATACTAAATTATCTAAGCAATTAGTAATGTAAATATTTAAGCTAACTGAACAATAAGTACTACACAATGTTTGCAGGTATGAATACAGGTACAATATCATCAGCAAATGTTTGAATTCGCCCGTTGAATTCGCCTTCTAAAATGGTTCTGTTGGGCGGGTGCTTGATCGTTGAAAATAGGTGAGCCCAAGATCGAATGGTACCCAAACACACGGTGATGGAGAAGGGAGTGCGAGCGCGCGAGATGTAGACATCTGGATAAACTGCCGCTCGACCTGCCTCCTGAATTAAACGCCTTTTGACGTAAACAGGTTCAAAGTCCCGCTAAGCTAGTCAAGATCCAATTCTTGCGCCTTTGCTGTTAGAAAATCGATATAAATATTTATTTTTATTAAAAAATATCGATATTGATATTTTTATATTTTTAAAAACATTTGTATTCGTTCTTTTTTAGCTCTTATTAAATTGGCCACACTAGCATCCCATCGCAGCCAACTTCGCTTTACCGGGCATCACTTCCCTTCTTTTCAATTTCATCGGCTGAAGAGAACAGTCATGGTAAGATTTCCTCTCCTAAAACTAAGTATGTGAACAGTGAAGTTGGCAGAGCTAACTAAAGTAAAGTAAATTGCTGAAAGCCAAAAATACAAGTGATTTTCCACAAACCCATGCTAGCTATTTAAAACCAAAATCCCTTGCTCTAACTTGCACTTGCAACATCCACGTGTTCACCTAACCTCAAAGTGAAAAGACCAAGATTGCTGATGGATTTTCTCCATTTTCCTTCCAGTCGCATCGTAAGTTCTCGGCGCCTCGCCATGGTTCCATGGCCTTCTACCCCAAGAAGCGCTCAGCGCGCCACCGCGGTAAGGTCAAGGCCTTCCCCAAGGATGACCCCAGCAAGCCAGTCCATCTGACCTGCTTCATCGGCTACAAGGCCGGTATGACGCACATCGTCCGCGAGGCCGATCGTCCTGGATCCAGTAAGTACTTTTTCCCACATTCAACCAGCTACCTTTCCATGATGAGTAAACTAGAAGATTTATGGTTAGAACACAACTGATTAACCGTGATTATCTCAACTAGGGCGGACTGATTGATCCACTCAATAGATGGAATTTAGGGAATTGCATAGCATGATTTTAATGGCTTTATTTTCTCCTTCCTTGCAGAGATCAACAAGAAGGAGTGGTCGAGGCTGTCACCGTTCTGGAGACCCCGCCCATGATTGTGGTCGGTGCCGTCGGCTACATGAGACTCCCTTCGGTCTGCGTGCCCTCGTCAACGTGTGGGCCCAGCATTTGTCCGAGGAGTGCCGTCGTCGCTTCTACAAGAACTGGTATGTATCGAGACCACGTGGTTTACCCCTCCCTTTTTCTTCCGACGCCATTTTGTTTGCACCGGATGCAGTACACACACAGAAACCACCACGTGTTTTCTACTAGTCTGGATGATGATACGATGGTATCTGAATGAGCAAAATATTGTTGAGAAACCTTCTACCATCTGCTGCCTTCCTTCTGATCGGCCTACTAGAAAACACCTGGTTTTGTATACGATTTATCTGGGTTTGAAAACCAAACTGTGTGTGTACTCCCCTGTAAAACCTACGTAGAGACCCCTTATTAAATGTAAAATGCAATCATAAAGTTCTTCGATCAGCTGCTGAGAGAGCTTTTTAAATCGCTGAAGGTTGTGTGAGCTGTCAGGTTTTTGGTCTTGGGGCTCTGAGCCCCTGGTTAACTGAAACTACTTGACGAGTGAGCACGGCATGGAAGACCGCATCTCCGCTCGCCATTTGTTTGCGATGAGGTGCACTTCCTGTTCTATCTCGCCCTTACATAAACAGCAGCGCGCTAAGAAGTTGGAGTTGTTGAGGCACCCAATGGATTGCGTCATGTCGCTCGTTTCTGACCAACTTGACCATCGTCTATCAGGTACAAGAGCAAGAAGAAGGCTTTCACCAAGGCCAGCAAGAAGTGGACCGATGATCTCGGCAAGAAGAGCATCGAGAATGACTTCCGCAAGATGCTGCGTTACTGCAAGGTGATCCGTGTGATTGCCCACTCGCAGGTAAATATGAATTACTTATAAAACCCCCAAATTCACGACGTCCTTGGCCTTGTTGCGCCACTGGTGCTGGGTCCTCGGGCTCGGTGCCTTTGGTGCGCCTGGCCTAAAAAGCATTCGCGCTGTGGTTTCAATGCACAGTTTAGGGATGCAACGTCGCAGAGCAAACTGCCCCTCGGGTGGCGGAGCTTGATATATTCCAGTAACGGTGCGGAGCCGTTCAGGCGATGATAGCGCGGTTAAACCATATCACGCACAGCCCAAAAACTATTACAAGTGGATGAAACTAACCGAAAAATCTCTCTCTGTATCTTTCTTTAGATCCGCTTGATCAAGCAGCGCCAAAAGAAGGCCCATGTCATGGAGATCCAGCTTAACGGCGGCTCCATCGAGGACAAGGTCAAGTGGGCTCGCGAGCATCTGGAGAAACCCATCCAGGTCAGCAACGTGTTCGGCCAGGACGAGATGATCGACTGCGTCGCCGTGACCAAGGGTAAGGGTTTCAAGGGTGTCACCTCGCGTTGGCACACCAAGAAGCTGCCCCGCAAGACCCACAAGGGTCTGCGCAAGGTGGCCTGTATTGGAGCCTGGCATCCGTCGCGTGTGTCCACCACCGTGGCCCGTGCTGGTCAGAAGGGTTACCACCACCGTACCGAGATCAACAAGAAGATCTACCGCATCGGTGCTGGCATCCACACCAAGGACGGCAAGGTAAGCATTCGAACGCCATGTTTAAAATACTTAAATCTTAAGGGGCTGCAGAAATCTGTTGCACTGATGATAAAAAACCTAAAAACATTAACGACATCGAAACAATAAAAAGCTTGATGAACCGTGATATTTATAATGATAGGACTGATTACAGATCTCAGCCAAATAAGATTGAACTACTCTGTGTTTTCCCAATACTTCAGAGGACTAACGCATTTATTTATCTTTTACAGGTAATCAAGAACAACGCCTCCACCGAGTACGATCTGACCGACAAGAGCATCACCCCCATGGGTGGCTTCCCCCACTACGGTGAGGTCAACAACGACTTCGTCATGATCAAGGGCTGCTGCATCGGCTCCAAGAAGCGCATCATTACCCTGCGCAAGTCCCTGCTGAAGCACACCAAGCGCTCTGCGCTGGAGCAGATCAAGCTCAAGTTCATCGACACCTCGTCGAAGATGGGTCATGGTCGCTTCCAGACCCCTGCCGACAAGCTGGCCTTCATGGGTCCGCTCAAGAAGGATCGTCTCAAGGAGGAGGCCGCCGCTACCACCAGCGCTGCTGCCGCCGCCGCCACCACCACCGCTTAAGCAAAATTACGTGTCAACGTTTAATTGTCTGCTCGCTTCTACCGCCCACAGCTGCGGTAGGGCGGCGATCAATAAAAAGATTTTGGCTAAGCTATGTAATCAATGTTTTAAATTTAAACCACTGGGGAAAGACTGCTTGCCTATGCAAAGATGATATTGATTGGAAATTTCTTTAATATAGTGCTAATTTTCTTAGTCATTGTCAACGTATTTGAGAAACTCCACTACAATATCTTAGTGATACACGTTATATGTTAATTATTATTAGGACGCTAGTCGATAGTTTACTACCTATAAATAAAAGCCAACTGAATACACAAACCTCTTATCGCTTAGATTCCCATACTTCAAAAATGTTTTGTAGACTTTAGCAATTTATTTTGCGCAAGCTTGTATAAGAAAAAAGTTCAAGATCATTGGTTGTCGTTATCACTCGAGTCCATTACAGTTTTAAAAACGTGGGTGCCCTCAACGACCTTTCGTTGTCGTAGATCTCCTTGGCGTAACACAGGTTAGGATAGTCGAAGGCGGCTCCATAGCGGTTTTTGCATCCCGTGGTGGACTTCTCTCCGGGAGTGTAAACGGGCTGGCCCACGATGTTGGATGTGGCGAAGTTGCAGGTCAGCACGAAGTGGTTGTAGAAGTCGCGGGAGAAGCGCACGGCGGCACATCCCACATGGGTGTTCTTCTCGGCCACTGAAATGGTGAACTTGGCCACATCTTTGCTGGGCAGTTCCTCCGGGAAACTGGCGAGGATCTCGGGTGAGGCGTTCGAGCGCTGTGCGAACCAGTTCTCGATCTGCTCCTTGATTAGCTCGGCATCGGTATACTCTGTCTCCGCTCCACTGTAACTGAAGATGGCGTTGTTCTGGCCAGCGTAGGCGAATCTCTCCGTGCTGCGACACTTGTCAGGAAGAGATTCACAGGTGTGCACGTTGAGCAGGGCCAGATGAGAGAGCTCCTCGCACCAGGACATTTGGCCATGCGAATCGCCTTGGGTAAACCTTCTATTTTGCCTCCAGCCACGTTGTTTCGCAGTTCGTTGAAGAGGGTAAGGATAAGTTTGTGATGGGGCTCTATCTTCACCTCACGCACATCCTTGGGACAGTTTTCGCTGAAGTTCTGGAGGTGAATAAGGATGAGTATCGAAAAGAGTTAGGTAACATTACTTACTCCCTTGTTATTGCAGGCTATGTGCTTATCCAGGCAAGTGGGCAGAGCACAGTAGTCCACTGCAATGGTGGCTCCGATCAGGAAGGCTAGAACAATGATTGTCTTCATGGTGATCTCCTGAGCTGGCTTTTCACTGAACTGCCTCTAGTCCAGAGGGGCTCTTTTTATAGGAAGACTGCCACAGTTATTCCTCGAATTTCAACAATCACCTGTGAAATGGGCAGCTGTTTTCGAAGGAATCTCTGGTTTCAGCTTAAAATTCCTAATAATCATGTTGGTTACTTAACCTGGCAGTGCTCCTATCCTCTATAAAAGCTGGAAATAAGAGCCAGTTGAATCAGTCGCAATTCAGTAGCAAACCAAGCAATGGCTTTTACCATTTTACCTGGTTTCCTGCTCCTGGCGGTTGGTCTTTTCGGTTCATCCTTAGCTGTGGACTATTGTGCCCTTCCCACATGTCTAGATAAGCATATAGCCTGCAATAACAAGGGAGTAAGTATTGTTACCTAACTCTTTTCGATACTCATCCCTATTCCCCTCTAGAACTTCAGCGAAAATTGTCCCAAGGATGTGCGTGAGGTGAAGATCGAGCCCCATCACAAACTGATCCTTACCCTCTTCAACGAACTAAGAAACAACGTGGCTGGAGGCAAAATAGAGGGTTTACCCAAGGCGATTCGCATGGCCAAGATGTCTTGGTGCGAGGAGCTCTCCCACCTGGCCCTGCTCAACGTGCAGACCTGCGAATCTCTTCCTGACAAGTGTCGAAGCACGGAGAGATTCGCATACGCTGGCCAGAACAACGCCATCTTCAGCTACAGCGGGGCCGAGACAGAGTACACCGATGCCGAGCTAATCAAGGAGCAGATCGAGAACTGGTTCGCACAGCGGTCGAACGCCTCTCCAGAGATTCTTGCCAGCTTCCCGGAGGAGCTGCCCAGCAAGGATGTGGCCAAGTTCACCATTTCCGTGGCCGAAAAGAACACACATGTGGGATGTTCCGCCGTGCGCTTCTCCCGCGACTTCTACAACCACTTCGTGCTGACCTGCAACTTCGCCACCTCCAACATCGTGGGCCAGCCCGTTTACACTCCCGGAGAGAAGTCCACCACGGGATGCAAGAACCGCTATGGAGCCGCCTTCGACTATCCTAACCTGTGCTACGCCAAGGAGATCTACGACAACGAAAAGGTCATTGAAAACGCCATGGTGTTTTAGGATGATATTGTATACGGATAATGGGATTATGAGAGTGGATTGTCAAAACTCCTTATTTTAAGTGTGCTAAGATAATAAATTTAAAATATTAACGTAACGGCTTTTTACTTTTCAGTCAGCTGTTCTGCCAGCAAGTGGGCAGTCTCTTTTGGGAAAAGTAAAATACCCTGTAGATGTGGTAAAAGGTATATATTATACACCTGCTTCTGAGTAAAAATGAATTACAAGAGAGGAAGGGAAGGAGTATGCATATTCCATGAACATTTTTTTATTATGTATCTAAGGCTATAATTTTATAGTAGAAATGGATAATTAAAAATTAATTATAATTAAAATAATATACAGGGTATCCCGCAGTTGATTATATTTTCTTCATAGGTCTGATTTATTTTTAGTAGAAATTTTGTAGCCGGCTAGAGATGTTACGCGAAGCTTTAAGGATCGGCAGCCGGCGATGGTATAGCTACAAGTCCGTCCGGCGTCCGAATCTGGCTGGCACAGGTGCTCCGAAGGTGGAGCCGGCGAAGGAGCAACCAGGAGCATCCTCCACAGTGGAAAATGGTCATGGCAGCCTGGCCAAGCAGCTGCGGGCCAAGATTCTGGCCACTGGACCCATTCCCGTGGCGGAATACATGCGCGAGGTGCTGACCAATCCTCAAGCTGGCTACTACATGAACAAGGATGTGTTCGGCCGGGAGGGTGACTTCATCACCTCACCGGAAATATCACAGATTTTCGGAGAGGTAAGATATCAGCATTAGAAGTGCTCCCTCTGAACCTTTCCCTCCCACAGCTCGTGGGGATTTGGCTTGTGAGCGAATGGCGTAAGATGGGCAGTCCCTCGCCCTTCCATCTGGTGGAATTGGGTCCTGGTCGCGGTACCCTGGCCAGGGATGTGCTGAAGGTGATCACGAAGTTCAAACAGGACGCCGAGTTCTCCATGCACATGGTTGAGGTTAGTCCATTTCTGAGCAAGGCGCAGGCACAGCGCTTCTGCTACACGCACGACACCCTGCCGGAGGACTCGCAGCTGCCCTATTACCAAATGGGAACCACGGCCACCGGGACGAAAGCCTTCTGGCACCGCCGGCTGGAGGATGTCCCTCAGGGATTCTCCCTGGTGCTGGCCCACGAGTTCTTCGACGCCCTGCCGGTGCATAAGTTGCAGCTGGTCGATGGCAAGTGGCAGGAGGTGCTTATCGATGTGGCTTCTGGTGGTGCCAAGGACGAGAAGCAGGCGGACTTCCGGTATGTCCTCTCACGCAGCCAAACGCCCGTATCGAGCGTTTTCCGTCCTATGCCTAACGAGACGCGGGCCTGTTTGGAGTACTCCCTGGAGACGGAACGCCAGGTGGGACTCCTGGCCGAGCGCATTGAACGGGACGGCGGCATCGCCCTAATCATGGACTATGGACATTTTGGCGAGAAAACCGACACCTTCCGAGCCTTCAAGCAGCACCAGCTACACGATCCCCTGATCGAACCGGGTAGCGCCGATCTCACGGCCGATGTGGACTTCAAGCTGGTGAGGCACATCGCAGAGACGCGCGGAAATGTCCATTGCTGCGGACCCGTGGAGCAGGGACTGTTTCTGCAGCGTATGCAGGGAGAGGCTCGACTGGATCAACTCATGGCTCACGCATTGCCCGAAAACCAGCAGATAATCCGCTCTGGTTACGAGATGCTCACGGACTCCGCGCAAATGGGCAGTCGCTTTAAGTTCCTGGCCATGTTCCCCGGCGTACTGGCTTCCCACCTGGACAAATATCCCGTTGTTGGATTCAGTTAGTAATTGCAGAATTATTATATGTTTTTAAGGATTTAAATATGTTGCACATGATTGTTAAACAAAATACGAATGTTATTTCTTCTGGAATGATGCATTGATCGCCTGCATCTCTGCGGCGGTGAACTGGAGCACCGCCGAGATGGCGTTCAGCATGTGACGCTTGCCATCCGCGTCCCGGGTAACAATGTAGCTGATGATCACGTTCTTCAGGTACTCCAGGTTGGCGCCCTCGCGCGTCTTGCAGCGTTCTAGTCTGGAATGGAAAGGGAATCGCATTTAATACTACTCCTTATTAGAGACTATCAGAAAAACCCACCTGTCCACCTGCTCCTCCAGGCACTCGATCTTCTCGTGCATTTCCTGTTGAGATGTGACCTTATCCTGGATGGCCTTTCTCAGCGTGGACTCGGCGGCGTACTTGGCCTTGCGCAGGTTTGTAATTTCGATGTCCTTTCGAGCCAACTCATTGGCGTAGTGCAGCATGTGGCAGTTCTCGCCCAGCGACATTTTCTTGGAGCGCACCTTCAGCTTCCGTTCCCGCTGCTCGCCCTCCACCTCGACACTGTCGGCATCGGATGAATAGTTAAAGGATTCTGCAGTGGCTTCTAGTGTGGGAGTGGCCAGTGTGCTGCCCACACCGCTGGCCGAGTGAAAGACCTCGAAGGAGGTCTGTAGCGTCTTGATCTCCTGCTCCTTCTCATCGAGAAGCTGCAGGGATCTCTGGCGCTGTTTCTGCAAAAGCTGCTCGAGTTCGTTGAGCTTGCAGCGCGTCTCGTTTTCCAGCTCCGCCTTGGCCTCCTGCCACTTGGTTCGCTCGCTTTTCAAGGCCAGGCGCAGCTTCTCGCCCTGCTGTTTCAGGTCGATCTCCGCCTCGTCGATGTTGCGATTAAGCACCTGCACCTTCTCCTGCAGCGTTTGGATGTGCGAGTGCTGCAGTTGGACCTTCTGTTCAAGTAGTTGTCGTTGCTGTTTAGCTGCCTCTAGCATTTGCTGGACTCCCTGGAGCTGTTGCTCGCAATGGGCGTGGCTTTCGGCACGCGTCGTTGTTTGGCCGCTTAGAGAAAGGATCTCGCCGAGATCCATGGGGTTGGCAGATCGGGCATTGGCATTGGTAAGCAGTTTCTTCAGACGCACCATCTCGTCCACCAGCGTGGCCACGTCTACATCTTCATTAAGAGCTTTTAAATTGGATGTGGGTCGGACATGGGCCTGCTCCAAGTCCTGCAGCTGCTGTTTAAGATCGTGTATGCTCTCCTGATCTTGCTGACGCAGGCGATCGTAGCTGCCCACTGTGGTGCTGAGCTCAGCGAGGCGTGCCTCCAAACTTGCCACGCGATCCTCATGCAACGCCGCCTGCCTGCGACTCTGATCCTCTGCCCGCAGCACACGTCTTTGTTCCTGGCGAATGGCCACCGCATGCTGATCCTTTAGCTGCTGCATTTCCAGGCGCACTTGTTGGATCAGAGCAGCGCTATCCGCATTGGCGGCCGCCGCTGCAGACTGCTCCGCCTTGGTCTGGTATTGTTTCAGCTGCGAGCGGGCCTCCTTCAGCTGGGACTGCAGTTCCCGCAGTCGACTGTTCTCGGCTTCGTTGCTGGCGAACTGGGTCTTGAAATTGTTCAACTGCATCTCGATGTTGTCCTTCAGATGGCGCTCGTCGGCATAGAGCTTCTGCAGCTCGCGGATCATGAGCATCTGGTTGTTTGTCTCCTTCTCCCGCTCTTGCCGTTCCACAATCCATTTGGCCTTGACCTCGTCCACGTCGTTTTTGGCCCGTGCCGCCTGCTCCTTGGCGCGTACATGGAGCTCCTGGATGGTCTGCTCCTTCTGGGCGATTTGGCTGCGCAGTTGCTTCTTGTCCGCCTGGAAAGAGGCCTCCATGCGGGATTTCTCGGCGGAGAGAGTGGCCAACGAGTTCATCAGGGTGATGATTTGTGTTTGCAGTTGACCCTCGACGGGAGGAGGAGCAGGAGGACCTGAAGCTCCCTCTGCAGCTCCGTCCGCGGAATCTGTGCTGGTGTTTTGGGACTCCACCTTCCTGGCCGGGGATCCGGAGTCGCCCACCGCCGTAGCTTCCGCGTGCGCCGCCAAACTCGTCTCCAGCGCCTCCTTCTCCTTCAGAAGTCCCTTGTAGGCAGTGACCACGTCTGCAAATTGGATTAATCACCCGGAATGCACTGGGAATCGCCAAGAGCTCACCTTTCAGTCGCTTCTCGTAGCGCCCCAGCTGCTCCTTCTGCGTGGACACCAGCGCCTCCAGTTCCCTTTGCCGCTTCTCCATCTCGCTTTGAGTGGGATTAAGTCGCTTAACTTTTAGTTGACTGGCTTTTCAATTTATTTCTCTCCCGTGGCATTTTTGCCAATGCAAATGCAATTGACCAATTTTAGCAGCTGGCAGACGGGGCTGCCAACTTGGCTTTTTACCGAGCTACTAAATATAGTCAAGAACTGTGCAATGAATAACTTAAATTTACCCGTTCTATAGATATTTATACTTTTTAATATTAATATTCCTTTGTTTTAATTTGAATATCTAAAAAATTCCTATTGCTATCTTGAAAAATATTCATTATAAATCTATTCATTAATTTAAGTTTTTTACAGACTCGTCTTATTACTGAAAAATAAACCAATTTGCTTAACAAAGTTTATAAATTAATTTATTTCCTCAACATTTTATAAATAACTGTGTTTATAGAACTCTGTCGATTTAATATTTGGATATTCTTTTTCGTAATTTTCTGTAACTTAAAAAAAACTTAAAATAAATTCAATTGTTCATACAATGAAAAGATTTTGCTTTCTTAGTTGTGCTTATCGTTACCTAATTGTAAATATTTAAATAACAGATCTTAAATAATTTAGTCTATTCGCCCTCCTCGTCCTTCATCATCTGCTCGATTAGCCGCTTCCGCTCCTCGGCCTGCCGCATCTTCCGCATGACCAGGTCCTCGTAGTCGGTGGTTGAGCCAGTGCTCCCTGTGGCGGATGAATTGGATGGCTGCTTCTCATCCGCAGGCGGCGTTACCCATTCGAAGTGCAGTGGTTTGGCGGGATCGCCCTTTTCGTAGGCCAACACCATGTCGCAGGCTTCCCGGGTGGCCAGCTCCACCATGGCGCGTCCGCGTCGCTTGCTGTTGACCACCAGGGCCACCACGTCACCGTATTTCTTGAGGTACTTGAGCAGCTGCTCCTGTGTGTAATCCTGGCCGGGTTCGGCCTTCCACTTCATCTTGATGCGATGCTGGGCCGAATCGAACTGGGCCGGCTGTTGCAGGAGCTTCTGTTTCTCGGCGTGATTTCGCCGGAACTGCTCCTGCATGGCCCGCTGCTCCTCCTCGAGCAGCCGGGATCCCTCCCGCCTCAGTCGCTCGATCTGCTCCTGCAGCAGCTCCTCGTCGCTCTTGGCCACTGTGCTGTAGGGCTGGGCCTTGGCCAGCTTGTGCATGGCCGCCCGTTCTCGTTCCTCCAGCTCCTGCTTGAGCTTCTGCCGCTTCCCGTCCAGCTGGCGACTCCTTAGCTCCGCCGCCTTCTTAGCCTTCAGCACTTTGTCGTAGGCCGCACGGGCGGATTCATCCGTGAGGATCTCCAGGGCCTTGGACAGCTCGTGAAAGCGCTCCACCGCCTTGGGGTTATCCGGATTCTTGTCGGGATGGCAATCGAGCGCCCTTTTGCGGTACGCCTTCCGTATCTCATTTTGATCGGCCTCCAGGGAAATGCCCAAAAGATCGTACAGATTGATGTCGCTAAACTTTTTGCTCGCCATTTGATTTGCTGTTATAAATATACTTTATCCTAATATATTTTAGTTATAATTACTAATTTCACAATTCCAATAAATCATAAACAAAATATTTGCTGGGCAAATTGTTTACCAAACGATACTGAATCAGCTGTTCTGGGAATAACTTGTTTTTGACTACACCAACTAATTATAAATAAATATAAATATTTAATAAAATATACTTTTTAATAGCCGCTGATTAGTTTCACAACTGCAGCCGGCTTCTAATAAAATGAAAATAAAACATTTCCTAACCAAATTGTTTACTAGATCAGCTGATTTGTGCGCCGAGTTGGCAGCACTGCAACACAACGTGCGCAATTGTTTGGCGTGGATTTATCTTTGTAATCGCCTTAAACCTTATATATAATGATTTCAAACCCCTGAAATAAGCAGAAAGTACGTCATGAGCATCTATCACGACGAGGTGGAAATCGAGGACTTTGAGTACGACGAGGAAGAGGAGATGTACTACTATCCCTGTCCCTGCGGCGATCGATTTCAGATCTCCAAGGTAACGCGGCGTATACGCAACCCTTCAGACCTTTTAAAACTTGGTAATTTTCCGTCTTAGGAGGAGCTGATCGAGGGCGAGGAGGTGGCCACCTGTCCCAGCTGCTCGCTAGTCATCAAGGTCATTTACGATCCGGTAAGTGACTCACCTAGATTTACCCGGGAAACCCATCTAGATCTATAATATTTAAAATTTCAGGACATGTTCAAAGCTGAGGAAGATGAGGAATCCGCTCTAACGAAAAACTCAGCGACTTGAAGCTGGAGAAGAACTAAACAAGCCATATGGTGTAATTAAATAGTTTTTATTTATATACTTTTATATATAGATTTCATTTTAGTGTAAATAATACGTTGACTAGTAAAACAATGAATTCAAATTATGCAAGCTCGCGGAAACATTTCGATTTGTTATGGATTATTCGTTTGGGTGAATTACAAATGATTTATACACGCATTGTACAATATCTAGAACTAAGACAAAGGGTTAACACATACATTGCACTGAGCACTTTTTGGTCTAAGCTTCACAAGCAGAGCGCAATGTGAACCCAAACATAAAGTGACAATTTGGAAACACAAATCAAAGGAACTGTGGCGTACCAAGTGTGGAAATGTGAGTAGTACAGAGAGTTACATACAGTGGAAAGCGGTTGGAAAAATATATATATATATATAACATACAGTTACCACTTTCTGCTTACGGCTTAGGAATTCGACTTAAACTTAGCACGTAAATATTGTTACGGTTCGTCATGCAGCATCCAGTGGATTGGATATTGGATTTACTCTGCTCCTGATTTTATTAGAGAGCGTGCTCGTTCAGCAAGTGAGTGAAGGAGTACGAGGACGAAAGGGATCCAGGTCTCCCCATTATATGCGCTTAAATGCCGTCTGCAATGCTTTTCGAGAGTGGGAGGGATCTACTGATTCTACTGTTCCAGCCAGGACCCAGTGACGGCATTGGGCGACTTAAGCTGCAAGGCAAAGAGTTTAATATTTGGATACTACATCAATCCGTTTCTCACCTTTATGTTGAACTGCTTTAGGGTGCTTTCCAGTGCCATGGCGTTGCCCGAGAAGTAAGCTGCGATGGCATTGTGCAGCAGAATCAGTTGCTTGTGCATCACTTTAATCTGCCGACGGAACACACATACATACATTATATTATTTATCTCTTGTTTTATTAAGGTTTAACTTACGCGATTCTCGTCGAGGAATTGCATTTTAATCGCCACGTCAGAGCGCAGCTTCTCGTATTGCTCCTTGTGCTGCGCGTAGCTGCGCTGGGTCTCCTCCAAAGCTGCTGCCGAGGGCGTCAGCTCCGGCTTGGTGTTCTCCAAGTCCATGCGATAGGCATCAAATTCGATTCTAATGGGAAAACGAGATTTTAATGGGTTTCACAGGAAATGACCTTGTTTTTATATGATTTGCTTTGTTTTTTAGTGTTAGATAAGCCCGCTTAAAAAAATGAGACATTAATCATGCTTTTGTAGAGCTACAAATAAAATTTTTTAGGAATGAAAATGAGATAAGAAAATTCGCATGCAAAGCAACGCAAATAATAAGCATTTCATTTATATCCATAAAAAATATGTTCAACCATCACAAGAATTATAAGAAATCTTTTAAAAGAACAGAATTTTCATCACAGCTTGAAAGGGGCGGGAACATTGCATCACACCGAAAGAGCTCTATTACCTGGCTGTTTCGTAGTGTCGTATCGTCAGCAGGGTGTCGTCGATCGTCTTATTGCACAGCGTATTCACCGACGAAATAAAGAAGTTGAGCGCGTTGAGCAGCAGCTCTCCGTTCTTGGTGAGGTTGCGCTGCGTCTCCGAGTTGCAGGTGAACTCCTTCTGCAGCTCGGGGTTCTTCTGGGCCAAATCGGCGAAGGAGTCGGCCAGTGCATGTTGGGTAACGATCACGTGCTGGAAGTGCGAGCTGAACGCCCGCGTCAGCCTTAAGATGGACAGATACTTGCGCTGCGTCTCGCGCAGCTGCTCGATCTGGGCCTCCAGCTCCGAGTCCACGGTGCGCTGCGACTTGCCCAGCTTCTCCAGCATAATCTGCCGAGTGCACTTGTACGTGGATATGCTCCAGTTCTTGAGGCTGTCGATCTTGGAGGCGCTAGTGCGTATGAGGCTGCCGCTCCCGCTGTCCGTGGGGCTCAGGATGCCGTTTCCCGATGGTGGCTACTGGGCGACATGGGTGTGGTGGGTGCTGAATGGGTATATCAATAGGTTTGATGAGTCAGTTGGCAGGTGGGCCAAAAATAATGCGATAACGATTACCTGAATGGTTGCGCAGTGGCAGACTGTTGGGGGCGCCAAATGGACCACCCGGGGCTCCTCCTCCGGCGATGCTGTGGCTGCTGGCGCTTCCGAGGACCAGGCTTCCGCCCTCGGTGCCTGTGTGTACCGCTCCGCAGCTGTCGTTCAGCGAGGGCGCGTCCTTCAGCATCTCATGAATGCTGCGCTCGCGATCCGCCATGGAGATTGCTTTCTTTCAGCCCCCGAAAACCCTCTAATTGCCTGCGGAAAATGGCTTTTCCCGTCTGTGGGGGTGTGTGCTGCTTGTATGTGTGTAAGCTTGGTAGACGGCGGAGGAGGCCCTTGTACTGCGATTTCCACGCCGAAACCAATATCGCGCTCTGTGCGAGGCGAGAATTTAGCAACCTATGCCTGAACTCTCTGTAGTCTCGCAATTTTCAAAGATCCGGATAAAGTTCATCAAACTTTTTTAACTGAAAAGTGTGACCGCGGAATCATCGATCAATAATACCGTCCGGCTCTGTGAAATATACTTTTTGTACCAGTGTTTTTATTCAAATATACCAATCAAAAGGTGTTTCTATTCTAGATCTAGTGGGAAAATAGCTAGATATCATCTGGTATTTTATTACTCACATCCTGCGGTCTACCAAAGTGGACAATCTTTTGATTTTTGGGGGATTTTACGGAAACCGATTGGCCTGTCCTGTCAGTGGTTATTTAATTGCTTTCTTTTGCGTTTTTCATTTAAACCACAAGTCGTTGGAAAATGGGTTACCTACTATTTGGCGTCGGGTTGGCTTTGGTGGTAGCTCTAGCCATCTACTTACACCAGCCCCCTGTGCCGCAGAGGGCAGCTCCTCAACAGAGGAACGAGGACGAGGACGAGGACGAGTTTGAAGGAACTATGGGAAAAAGATTGCGCCGGAACTTCACAGAACAGCGAACGCGGCGCAGGTTGGTGATGCCAAGTGGAGATGGGGATTCTAGGTTCCTAAACTTGATTGTCTTGTTTCAGCCTGCCGGGGGACAAATGCGCCGTTTGCCTGGACGAAATGAATCATGGCGACATGAAGTACATGAAGTGCGGTCATGCCATGGACGGGACCTGCTTCGAGGAGTATCGCTACATTCGCAGGAACTGCCCACTATGCGACAAACCTATTAATCTCAGTCTACCTGGGGACAGATGTGCCATTTGCCTGGAGTCGCTATCAAGGGCTAACATGGCTCACTTGCGCTGCCAGCATGCTCTGCACTTTGAGTGCCACCAGCAGTTTATCGAGAGTGGAGCCAAGTGCTGCCCTCTCTGCCGGGAGAAACTGTAGGATCACCACATATCTTTCAGAGATCTGTTATCACATAAAGATCTCTCAACTTAAGTCCGTTCCAGGAAGATATTAAGGGAATCACATGTTGTTATCTTTAGCAGTGCTAAGCCCTTAGTGCACAAAGAATTTGTACTAATTAACATAAGAAAAGCGATAAGCAATCGAAACAAGTCTGTCCTAGCGTCTAATTATCGAGCGTTTTGTTAAATAAACCACACAAATTGCCTTTCACAAACGCCTCCATCTAGAGATATATGTAGTATACTGGTTTGTGCTCTAGAAACAAATAAAACTATTGGGGAGAAAATAATAAAACAATTTATTTTTGTTGTATGGACCGGCCGGCCTTTTTATTTACGTTTTCTTTGTTTTCAATAGAATTCAATTTATTTTAACCAGTGTGTACACACTAATAAGTGCCCAAGTACCAGCTGATTTGCTTCTTCTTCTACCGCCATTCACTTGGAAATTCAGTATAATATTCTTTAACTTCAAAAAAACATCTCAGGTTTGTTTGCTTTGTATTTAAATATATACTCAAAATGCCTGGTCTGCGCTCAGTTTGCCGGACTTGCGGTAAGAATGTGAATAATTCGCGGGCCAGAGCCATTAAACTCTTCGACAAGCACAATTACATTTAATAAGTTTAATTGAAAACATCACCGATATGTATGTAAGTACGTGACCTCTGCAATTGAACTCTTTTGTTTAAACAATTGATTTAAATAACTGCCCAGCTGGAGTTCGATGCTACCATGCCAGACTCATTTGCCATTGCTGCAAACTGCAGCTGGACAGGATTTTGGAATTCCGCACTAAGTGCCTGGATGTCCATCAGTCGTTTTTGGCCTCCAACAGGAAACGTCTGCAAGAAACGGTTGTAGTTGATGAGGATCTCGATGAGCAGAAACTGGAACAGGAGGAGCCTTACCAGGAGGTTATGGTCGAGGAGGAGGACCAGGAGGAGCACCGCCAGTCTCCCAGGACTAGGCCAAAACGGGCGAGCAAACGGGCGACGCCAAAACGGGCGACGCCAAGCTCCAAGACCTGGTTCTGTGACCAGTGCGGCGGAGTATACAAGGGCAAGTCTATCCTGGACTTTAAGCTCCACCTCCAGCGCCACACTGGCCACAAACCCTTCGAGTGCGACATCTGTCAGTCCAAGTTCTACACAAAGAACGATATGAGCCGCCACAGGATCCTGCATTCGGATGCCCGGCCCTACGCATGCCGCTTCTGCACCAAGACCTTCCGCTCCAGCAGCAGCAAGGCGATCCACGAGCGCAACCACACGAACGAACGACCCTTCCAGTGTCATCACTGCGAGAAGACCTTCACCGCCAGCTCATCGCGCCAGAGGCATGAGATGCTGCACACCGACCAGCGGAAGTACCAGTGAGTAGGAGTCCTGACCCTTATGTACCCCACCGTAGGGAGTACTTCTTATAGAGCCTTATAAAACATCCTAGAACTATATTATGTATACAATGGTTTTTATTTTGCAGCTGCGAGATCTGTAACCAGTGGTTTCAACGGTATAGCCACTTAACCTTACACAAAACCAGTAAACTACACCAGCAGAGAGTGGAAAGTGCTTCGACTGCCTAAAAGAAAAATATAAACTTGCTTCATATTAAGTTTAAAAAGTGGATAACCCATGATTTTTGATGGCTTAGAAGAAGATACAAATAATTTTAAGTTACATTGACTGAAACTCTTGCCTAAAAAGAGGTATTCTCCTAATTATAGGTTTCGTTACTTCGGCTGTCTAAAAATTTCTTATGATAACTACAGCCTAAAAGAAATTGGAAATAAATTTAAGTTGAACTTGTTGTCTTAAAAGAAGATAAGATAATTTTAAGTTGTATTGAAAAAACAATAATTTAATATTTTGTTGAACATTATAAATAAATGAAAAAGGTAATAGGTCAGTTTTTGAATTTGCGTGAGATGTTTGCGCTGCGGGGCGAAAGTCAACCTTGGGGGTTGCAAATTGCGAATGCCGATACTCTTGTTCTTCCCTGCAAACAAACTATCTTATACTTCCAATCGATCTGGGTGTCTAGTTATTTTTTTTTTTTTAAGTCATGCGGTACATTTGCAGGACCTGCTCGCGAATGGCCGATCCTGCGGCAGCCAAGGATCTTTTCGAGCCATCGAGTTCCTCCGTTTTGCAGCAAATTGAGACCCTAATCAATTTGCAGGTGAGTGTGCAAGTTGTGGGCGTGTTCCCAAGGCGACAGAGCGGAGGCGGCCTGCTAAGCTCTATAACTACCCTGCAGCTAAAGGAGGACGAGAAGCTGCCCAGGTTTATGTGCCAGGAGTGCCAGCACGACCTGCAGATTGCCATCGACTTTCGCCGGGTTTGCATCGAGGCCCAGGAGCTCCTCGAACTTCAGTTGCGGCAGGTGGCCAAGGAGGAGGAGGCTTTCGAGGACCTGGCGGAGCAGTGGTTGGACGACTGTCCCGAGGAATACTCCAACTTGTCGCCGCTGCGACAGAACGATGATGGTTCAGTTGAGTCCCTCCACCGTCTGGAGCCACAGGATGGGGATTTTGTGGACACAATGTCGATGGATTGCAAGGGTGAATTTCCACCAGAAGATAGTCCAAATGTGGCTCCGGAGTTTCCTACGTATAGCCAGTTGTCGGTGAGAAGTTCGACCTGCAACTCTCGCCGGAACCGGAACCTCCGAGTCCCCAAGAAAGTGAAGGCAACGATAATCCAGACTCCTCCATTCACACCTGCAGCAAATGCGGCCTCGAATTCGACACGTGGACGAACTGACGTTGCACAAGTACCATCTGCACGATGTACCTCCAAATACCAAGTAATCATTGTACTCCATATTAAGACTGCATACTTTAGTTCATTACCTTTCAAGAATAGATTCATGCATAGTTTTATTGTGAGCCAATATATGTATTGTTCTTATTTTTTTTCTGATTCCATTTTAATTTTAAATCTGTTTTCGTTTTTATTTTAGAAATTATTTTATATGATTTTAGTCCTGCTGTTTTTATGGAAATCAAAGACAGATCTGTAAGAGATGTTTTTACCCTTATCCAAAGACTGACTATTACTGTCCCCCAGCCTATCAACAGTACGAGAAAGCAAATCTTTAGGGAGTAGCAACTAAAACTATGCTCTTTCAGATTCGTTTGTGGCCACTGCAACGAGGGCTTCCGATCGGCAGCCGCCCTTACGAGGCACTGCAAAATGCTAGATCTTCCATTGACACACACGTGCACCATGTGCCGCCACAAATCCTACAACAAGATCCTGCTGGAGATCCACGAGGAGCGGTGTCAGAAGCCTCCGGCCCCGAACATGTGTGCCATATATGCGGCAAGCGGCTGACCACGTCCTTCAACCTGAAGAACCATCTGGTTCGCCATACGGGAACTCGACCACACAAGTGTGACCAGTGCGACTCCTCCTTCGCCGTCGCCGCGGAACTCAGTTCGCATCGGAAAACCACACAACCGAGCGTCCCTACACCTGTCGCTATAACTGCGGGAAAACCTTCCGATTCTGCAGCGCCCGCAGCATGCACGAAAGGTAGATCCTAACCATAGCTCCCCTATCAGTTAACCCGAAACTCACCTGAACTATTGTCTCCCCAAGAGTTCACATGGACGCCAGCAAACGTATCTACAAATGCGAGTATTGCCCCAAGTCGTATGTTACTCCAGGTGACTGCAGGACCCACCAAAAGTATCACAACTTGTCGCGCGATCACAGGTATGCATTCCATTCAGGAATAATTTTTCTATTCAAAACGTAGCCATTAGAACTCATTGTGGAGTTAATAACCTAATTGAGAAAGTGCTTAGTTTGAATTATCATGACTATCTTGAAAAAGTACTCTTAAAATTTTTTATTTAGTTTAAGATGCCAACCAATCGTTACATATATCACATCTTGAAATTCATTTTATTTGCAAATTGTATTTTAATATGAGTCACTTGCTTTTTAATGATTCTTTTCCAACCCCCAATCTCTTTCAGCTGCGACGTATGCCGCATAGTTTCAAGACACTCAAACACTATAAATCTCATGCGAAGTCAAACGCCCACAAGACACTGGAAGCCCGTGCTAAGGCTGCCAAATCCTAAATTCCTTCATTCCGTCACGAAAAGTATTCCTCGAATTGATATTATTATAGTCTGCTGCATTTTAATTATACATATATATGTATCTAACTTATATAAATAAAGCTTCCGTTCCATATCATGTGCCGTTTCCTTTTATTTGTCCAGCCTAGAAAACCTTGGCGTTTTCAATGACCTTCTCGTTGTCGTAGATCTCCTTGGCGTAGCACAGGTTAGGATAGTCGAAGGCGGCTCCATAGCGGTTCTTGCATCCCGTGGTGGACTTCTCTCCGGGAGTGTAAACAGGCTGGCCCACGATGTTGGAGGTGGCGAAGTTGCAGGTCAGCACGAAGTGGTTGTAGAAGTCGCGGGAGAAGCGCACGGCGGCACATCCCACATGGGTGTTCTTCTCAGCCACGGAAATGGTGAACTTGGCCACATCCTTGCTGGGAGCTCCTCCGGGAAGCTGGCAAGGATCTCTGGAGAGGCGTTCGAGCGCTGGGCGAACCAGTTCTCGATCTGCTCCTTGATTAGCTCGGCATCGGTGTACTCTGTCTCCGCTCCACTGTAACTGAAGATGGCGTTGTTCTGGCCAGCGTATGCGAATCTCTCCGTGCTTCGACACTTGTCAGGAAGAGATTCGCAGGTCTGCACGTTGAGCAGGGCCAGGTGGGAGAGCTCCTCGCACCAGACATCTTGCCATACGAATCGCCTTGGGTAAACCTTCTATTTTGCCTCCAGCCACATTGTTTCGCAGCTCGTTGAATAGGGTCAGGATCAGTTTGTGATGGGTGATCTTCACCTCACGCACATCCTTGGGACAGTTTTCGCTAAAGTTCTGCAGGGGAAGATGTGAGTATTAAGAATATTTAGTGACATTACTTACTCCTTTATTATTACAGGCTATGTGCTTATCCAGACATGTGGGAAGTGCACAATAGTCCACAGCTAAGGATGAACCAAAGAGACAAAGCCAGGAGCAGGAAACCAGGTAAAATGGTAAAAGCCATTGCTTGGATTGCTGCTGAATTGTGACTGATTCAACTGGCTCTTATTTCCAGCTTTTATAGAGGATGGGAACACTGCCTGGTTAGTTACTAGCATGATTATTAGGAATTTGAGCTGAAACCAGAGATTCCTTCGAAAACAGCTGCCCATTTCGCAGGTGATTGTTGAAATTCGAGGAATAACTGTGGCAGTCGTCCTATAAAAAGAGCCCCTGGAGTAGAGGCAGTTCAGTGAGAAGCCAGCTCAGGAGATCACCATGAAGACAATCATTGTACTAGCCTGCTGATCGGAGCCACCATTGCAGTGGACTATGTGCTCTGCCCACTTGCCTGGATAAGCACATAGCCTGCAATAATAAAGGAGTTAGTAAGTTACCTAACTCTTTTCGATACTGATCCTATTCCCTCCAGAACTTCAGCGAAAACTGCCCCAAGGATGTGCGTGAGGTGAAATCGAGCCCCATCACAAACTGATCCTTACCTCTTCAACGAACTGCGAAACAACGTGGCTGGAGGCAAATAGAGGGTTTACCTAAGGCGATTCGCATGGCCAAGATGTCTGGTGCGAGGAGCTCTCCCACCTGGCCCTGCTCAACGTGCAGACCTGTGAATCCCTTCCTGACAAGTGTCGCAGCACGGAGAGATTCGCCTACGCTGGCCAGAACAACGCCATCTTCAGCTACAGTGGGGCCGGAGACAGAGTACACCGATGCCGAGCTAATCAAGGAGCAGATCGAGAACTGGTTGCCCAGCGCTCGAACGCCTCTCCAGAGATCCTTGCCAGCTTCCCGGAGGAGCTGCCCAGCAAGGACGTTGCCAAGTTCACCATTTCCGTGGCCGAGAAGAACACCCATGTGGGATGTGCCGCCGTGCGCTTCTCCCGCGACTTCTACAACCACTTCGTGCTGACCTGCAACTTCGCCACCTCCAACATCGTGGGCCAGCCTGTTTACACTCCCGGAGAGAAGTCCACCACGGGATGCAAGAACCGCTATGGAGCCGCCTTCGACTATCCTAACCTGTGCTACGCCAAGGAGATCTACGACAACGAGAAGGTCATCGAAAACGCTAGGGTATTCTAAATCGATTTAACATCAGAAAGATCATCTTCACCGGCGGTTTGTACCCGTATCCATTTATGAGCATGCAAATAAAAAGCTAAAGAGCTTAAGAAATAAAATGTTACCACTGATTTTAAATATTGGGATCCTTTAGAAAAATCAAACAAATGCAGGTTTCTTGTTTTAGACTAAATTGTTTTATTTAATTATATCATATCATGCGAGAGGTATTCATTATCTTGTCGTCTGCCTTCAACAGCTTTCGTTTGGATGTCCAACTTGTACAATTAAAACACACAATATCACAATCATACGCAGGTATGCAAAACATTATCTAATTATTGGCCTGGACAGTCGAAAGTTCTTGCGAGAGTCCAGCCCTCCAATGATCCTAACCCTCTTGATCGGTATGAATCTCTGATGATGCAATAAATAGAGTTACTGATTGCTTGGGTGTAATGTCATTCCGATCAGTGTTGGTGGGTGATTTTTAGAGAGGAGGCCATACAATCAGATGATCTTTAGTTACTCAGTGACTTTGTACTAAAATATATAGAATAAATCAAAAAGGGGGAATAAGCGAAAGAAACCAATAGAGGATTACAGGATAAATAAATATACAAAAAAGGGAGGATTAGAATTGGACCAAAACTTGGGATTACAATGATTTTGGGATCGGGCTTCGAGCTTCGTGTACGAGTGACAACTATAACTATAGCTAGTATTAACTAAGTAGGAACTGGCCATTACTTTCCTTGGGCGCCTTGTCGAACAGGTACTCCTTGGCCATGCTGTAGGCCAATCCGACGGTCAGACATCCGACCACGGTTCCCTGGCGGCCACTCGCAGCTGCATCAGGAACACACTCGTGCTCATCGTTCCGCGGTTTCCGGTACTTGTATGCTCCAATCACTCCGGCGGCCACAAAACCGGCAATACCTGTAAGTAAAGGTAGAAATCACTGATTAGTTTCACTCGGTCATTGTGTGTGTGCTTTGTTGTTGCTATCTGGCTGTCCAAAACAGCTGATAAAAGCCAGACGTCGGGCAAATATCAACATACAAATGGTGAACAAATTATGAAAGCAGTGATGCAAAAATAAAGCTAAATATATAGCTATGTATGTGGATGTTATTTTTTATATTTACAAATTTTTTCCTAAAGGTCTTTACTCTACAAAAATGTTTGTAACACTTATTGAAAAGTGTTTCATTACACTTTTTATCTTTCATAGTCGAAATAGTTTTTTTGACAAACTAAGTATATTTTAAGTATGGAATTTGACTATACATTTTATGTATTTTCGAATCTGTTTAATAAATATTGAAAGCTTAAATTAGCAGTGGGATTTAAATAAATGTATTACATAATTTGAGGTACATTTGCTGAATGCCTCTTAAATTGGGAAATGTTTATCCAGAAATATATATGAAACATCTAAATCTATCTAAAACCAAACATTATATAATAGCTAGATGGGGAAAATCGGTCAGATTAGCAACACTTGTTAGCGTCAGCTGTTAGTTGTCACACCCGCAAATAAGTGGAATAGTTGAGTATTCGAACACGCGCCAAGATCAGATGGCAGCGTGACGTCATGGATGTGATAATCCTACTTCCCGTTGCAATTCACACCAACCCCTGGGAATTGCGAAATGTTCCTGTTACATCATCCGGTTTCCAGTAAAATGACAGATCACGCAGCGTTAACCGTTATGTCACCAGTGTCAGAGGAGTCCCCGAATTGCCGTTAACCTCAGCGGATGATGTACATGGCCAAGGTCAAGATTAGCCGATTTTCACGCACACGCATCATGCATGTATGTATATGTAAGTATCTAATAGCTGCAGCCAAAAGTTTCCATGTGACGTCACGGCGGCAAAACTTCCGCTGTGCGGAAGTCCGCATCGACTCACCCACTAGCATGAAGGGCGATTCCTTGGCTTTCCTGGCCAATTTGTTTGCCTGGGCGGCATCTTCCTCGCTGTCGAAAAGGGACTTCGAACTCATTTTGAAGGCGGGTGGACTTGGAATTGATTTCCCGTTTTGCAACGTTCGCGAAACTTATTAGCAATGCTCGCTATCGATATGAGATAGACATTGATAGACGATAGATATTGATAGACCATAAAATCGCCGCGGCTAAGTTAGCCAGGACACAATCCCATACGTTTTAAGGGGACCATATTTTTTTGGTATATTATGAAAATACCGCCGTCAGCTGATTTGGCGCTTTCGGCGCTTTTCCGCCAGGCGCCGCTTTCGCCGCTTCTGTCATGACATAAGAAATTGGTATTTTTTAAAGGGAAAGGGGCGGACTGCATAAATCGACGTAGCTTTGCCTTGGCCGCTAACTCTGTTTGAAATTCGAGTGCTTTTCCGATAAATTGACGAGTGACAAATCCGCCGACCCGTAATTCGCGAAACAGAGTCGCAGCATGACGGGAATAATTTCGATTGTAACGAGGCGGCTGCCCCAAACTATGGGAATGCGAGCCCTGCGGAGTAATGAGGTAAATTTTCGTCGGCGACTGCGGGGGATTCCCTGGTGAAGGTGGAGGGGGGCTTGGCCAGGTGTGCTATATATGCTCCACCTATGTATATCCATTAATATCCAAATTTTCTGCCCGCCTGGCACTCGGCGATTATGTAATTGTATGGGTGTGTGTGCGTGCGCGACTGAAAAATGGGGAAAACTTTTGTTTGGGTGCCGCGCCGCACGTGATGCGCCAGCCGCCGTCGCCTCCTGGTTGTGCAATCACTAATTTTCACCTCTATTCCCCAGCTGAAGCGCTGCATCCGTCAGTATTCCCGGCTAGTCGTCTGCGCTGCCCAGCAGCAGCAACTGCTCCGCCAAGATGCCCAGAATCGCTGCCAGAATGCACCCAGGTGAGTTCGAGCACGGTCCATCTATGATCTTCCACTCAGACTCCTCCATTTCTAGGCTCATCACCTGGCAGGGCATTCACACCACGTCGAGCCTGCGGTCGGAGCAGACCGTGAATGTGCCTCCCTTCGCGGACTCCATCGCCGAGGGTGACATCAAGTAAGAGCTGGTTTTCAGCAACAGGTTCCCTGTTAACTGACTAACGGCATTCCCCCCAACAGGTTCACCTGCAAGGTGGGTGACTCATTCGCCGCCGACGAGGCCGTCATGGAGATTGAGACCGACAAGACCACGGTGGCTGTGCCAGCTCCCTTCTCCGGCTCCCTGACCGACATTTTGGTCAAGGACGGCGACACCGTCAAGCCCGGCCAGGCCTTGTTCAAGATCAAGCCAGGTGCGGCACCTGCCAAGGCAGCTGCTCCGGCAGCGGCTGCTCCTGCTCCCGCTCCTGCCGCTCCCAAGGCCGCCCCAGCTCCCGCTGCCGCCGCTCCTAAGGCGGCACCCGCTCCAGCTGCCGCCGCTGCCAAGCCTCCACCACCGCCACCGAAGGCGGCGCCTCGTCCTCCGCCAGCTGCCCCCGTGGCTGCGCTCAAGCCGGCCGTCGCCCAGGTGAAGGTGCCACCAGCCGATGGATCGCGCCAGATCTTGGGCACGCGGTCCGAGCAGCGCGTCAAGATGAACCGCATGCGTCAGAAGATTGCCGCCCGCTTGAAGGATGCCCAGAACACATGTGCTATGCTCACCACCTTTAACGAGATCGATATGAGGTGAGTTACCAACTTGAATGCCATCATTTAAGTAAGTAAAAGATCTCTGTAGCTTTGTCGTACTCTTGTTTATTACCATTTAGTAATATTATATAGTAATCCCAAAATCTTTCCCCTTTTCAGCTACGCCATGAACTTCCGCAAGCAGAATCTGGAGGCATTCGTCAAGAAGTACGGCATCAAGTTTGGCTTCATGTCCATCTTCTCGAAGGCCAGTGCCTATGCGCTGCAGGACCAGCCCGTGGTGAACGCTGTCATCGATGGCACGGTAAACAAGCCTCCGCCCCGCCCTCCGCTTATCAATCTCTTATCGCCCGTGACGTAGTCTGTTGGGCCATGCTGTTTAAAGTGCCCTTATCAGCCGACAATTTTTCGTTTTATGTCGGTTTTTGTTTATGCAATTTCCCGTGGCGATATGACGATGAATGTGGAATATTCGGTGTTGCCAAGCGCTCATAATTCCCTTGATTTTGCAGGACATTGTGTACCGCGATTACGTGGACATCTCTGTGGCCGTGGCCACGCCCCGTGGCCTGGTGGTGCCCGTCATCCGGAACGTGGAGGGCATGAACTATGCTGACATCGAGATCGCCCTGGCCGGTCTGGCCGACAAGGCAAAGCGGGATGCCATCACCGTGGAGGACATGGACGGCGGCACCTTCACCATCAGCAATGGAGGAGTGTTCGGATCCCTGATGGGCACACCCATCATCAATCCGCCACAGAGTGCCATTCTCGGCATGCACGGCATCTTTGAGCGGCCAATCGCTGTCAAGGGAGAGGTGGGTTATCCCTTCACCAATCATAACTACCTTTATTAACCATGTTTCATTTCGAAACCAGGTCAAGATTCGTCCCATGATGTATGTGGCCCTGACCTACGATCACCGAATCATCGATGGCCGCGAGGCGGTTCTGTTCCTGCGCAAAGTCAAGGCTGCCGTGGAGAACCCAGCGATCATTGTAGCCGGCTTGTAGAGTGAATTGTCTTAAAACGCGTCCACGGCCTTCATTTGATATTAGCCACCATAATTTGAAACTAATTTTTGGTTATTTATTATTTTATTTCGCGAACGTCACAAAAAAATAGAGAAGCAACAAAATTCGAACTCTACTCGTAGTATCGGAAGTAGTCAAAATAAATCAAACGTGGATCTTTTCTTAAAAATAAACTGTGCACTGAATGTTACTGTTAACCTAAGACGCTGCGAAGCAATGTCGTAATAAAGCGATGACGAATATTGACCAACCTCAATGCAGGCTACTTGGAGCGTTACACTATAATTGCGGTCAGCAGCGCCCCTCTAAGCGGGCCTAGGGGAAATATCTGCCCAGTCTCTGCCGGCACACATACAGCGTAGGACTTTACTGCCCCTTGTATTTCTAGCCGACCGCTGCACTATAATTAACCTGCACCGTATAAGAAATCGGTTCTATTATTTGTATTATCTAATAGTCTTCAATGGCGCCTAAACAATTAGTTTCAATTACCTTATCTATAACAATTTGGAATACATAATTCAAATTGTAAACAGTCTTATCATTTTTTCTGTCATGTGAGAATGGCTTTTAATTTGTATTTTAAGTACCTTGTGGTAGTAGGGGGAGATTATTTCGGTGTCAATCGCTGTAGTAATTAGTAATTGATAAGTCCTCTTTAAAATTTTGGTTGTATACGTTGAATACGTTTATAATTTTATTGAAACCAAAATCATAATGTATTTTTTGACTAGGTAAACTTTTTGAAATTACAAACGGTTAAGATATAATAAACATGCATATTGTGATTCTTTCGCTTTTCACTTTCGGTATACATATCAATAAATATATATATATATCCAGTATATTTGATATCACATTCCTCAGAAGGTATCCTCTTTGGTCAAGAATTTAAAAAGATGGATTCAAGTCTATAAAGAGTATCTCAACGGTCATGCAAAGATCAATTTTCATTAGTATTGGGAAGGCTATTGATAAAAGTTCCTGATTTTAATTAAACATTTTTAAAAAATTACTTTTTATTCTTACCGTTTAAAGCAGTTTTAGCAGTTAATTTTGGATTGGATATCTGCAATAAATTGATTGGTGTAATGGATTTCTTCTTTAATTACTGAAGTAGTTCCACCTGAAACACCTTTTCTTGAAAGAACTTAGGTTAAGTAAAACTCGGGTTTTATTGTTTTGTTATTAGAGCAAATTGGCTTGTACAATTTTATTGATTTTTGTTTGATAATAGTAATTTTACTATTTCTAATGTTTACAATATTTATGTGTTTTCGAGGTTGTGCGGTTGAATTAACAATTTAAAATATATGTGGGTACAAAATATTAAATGTGATTTTGAGGCGTGATGCTAAATGATTCTTTTGGTTACATAATTTTTAAATATACTTATGGAAAATTAATTTTTTTTAGATCTATTTAAGATTGATTAACACAGTTTTGATTTCGTTTTGTTTCTTGGTTGAATTTTCGTGTTTTTCTGATGCTTTTCATGACATTTTTGCTTATCACATGTGTCGAAAAAAAATATTAATTGAATCTGACGACGATAATGATAGTAGGGAGAACATCGAAATTATATGTATAAAAATATACTTGAGAGTGTAAATGAATGTAAATATAAAATCACATAAAAAATGCGGCAATCGTTTCGTCTAAAATATTTTGCAATTCGATTGCAAAATTTCCAAAAGTTGAAATTTTAGACAAAAGGATTGGCATTATCTACATTAGTTTTCGTTTGTCTTTTGTTTTTGTGAGTTTTTGTGCAATTTCTCGTACTTCTCGTATAATTTTAGCTTAACTAAGGGGATACAGAGTGTAGTTACGTGGTACAATTCGCGCTTAATCGTAGTTCCTGATGATGGTGCTTTTTTTTTGGGTCTAAAGAGGCCTAAGGTGAAGCTAACACGTCTGTCTTTTTGATCTGCCCGATGGGGAATTTCCATTATCTAGGGGTTGAGTTGGGGGTCAGGGACCGGGGCGTTTGTGGGCGGGGTCAGTTGGCACTGCACTTGGCTAAGTGCAACACTCTTAATTCTAAGCAATTACACTAGGTATCCCCAACCTTGTGTCCGAAATGTTTTCTTTTCGCGATTTTCCTTTTCTTCCTGTTCTGGCTATATAGAATGTATATATTCCTGATCCTTTCTTTTGGCTTATCTCTCTCTCTATCTATCTCTATCTGTCTCTCTCTTTGCGTAGATCTGCGTAGGTCGGAAGGATATCTTTTCTTTTTTCTCATTTTTGAATGTCTTTCAATAGAACTATTGTACAAGATTCCATTTGCTACTCTTCGTGGGTGCTTCTCGCGTCTGTCTCAATGATTTTGCAAATTTCCAAATTGCCCGAAACTTCCTTGGTACTTTTGATTTCTTTCCTACTAGCCAAAGGTTGAAGATGCTGCTCTCGGATGAATGGGGTTGTGTGTAAATAAAATTCATAACTAA